GTTTTAAGAGCTAGGGACTTTTAGATTCTTGCTCTGGATGGAGTACAGGTCTAGAGAGGATGAATTGTGGGCAGCTGTCCATGAATCAAAGGACAGCTTTAATGAGCATGCCCCAGATCAAACTCATCCATCATAAACCAACCACCCCAACAGACACTCTCAAGCTCTCAGGATCTCGGCAGTGGAAGGGGGCTGGGAGGTCCTGAGTTTAGCATTTCTCTGATGCTAGAATCCCCTATCACACTGACAAGCAGGACCCATCTGCCTTGCTAGCACCCCAGTCACTGTGACCTGAGGGCCAGAACCCTGAGTGGCTGCTGAGATTGCCACACTCTTCCTCAGGAGCCACAGGGCCTCACTGTGTAAGTTCCCGCTGGCATCCCTATGCCACCTCCAAAGTCACAGGTGTCCAGGGGAAAGGCAGGCACCAAAAATGCCAACAGGTGTGCTGATGGGATCCAGCCCTACTCAGCACATGGTTCTCTATGAACCAGAGCAAATGCTTTTTCAGAAAGACACGGCAAGCCCGCAGCACCCAAAGCATGCTTATCCTTCTGGAACACAAACTTGGGATAAATCATCCGTACAATCCTTCTTAATAGACTCACTGGAGGAGGAACTCCTCCAAAGCACATATTTCAAACAGAAAGCCCCCATCTGAACAGAGAAGTTTTAGGCAATCACAATGCTGACGAGGGGAGGGGTGTCAGTGACACAGAAGAAATGCTGATGTGCTTTGCACGTTAAAGCACCCAGCACCTTGCTTTGCAATGTGGGTGTGTGTCTAATGTTCTTGAAACTCACTCCTGCTTCCAAAAAGGACGAAGGAGACCCAGGCTGGGGCACTACCAGCGCTGCTCACTTCTCCTGAACTGGGAACAGAGGCGTCGCTGGTTCTTCCTGGACCTTGCTTCTGGCCCCCACTTTTCTCCCAGAGGAATGGGGTTTTGTCAGGGTCTTTTTGTTGGTGGCCCTGAGGTATTTTGGGTTTAGAGTTAAGTCTCCTTTTCGCAGGCAGGAGCCCATCAGAAAACCCTGGGTCCTTGGAGGTGCCATAAGACCAAGTGGGAAGCCAATCAGTAGGAGCTACGCGAGGATGAGCAGCCTCCCTGCAAGTGGTGTGGGCCAGCAAGGGCCTTCCAGGCAGCCTGTGAGCACTTCCAGCCGGAACTCCAGGGAGGACATGTCTGTGTGCATCTCTACCTATTGACAGACATACAGATACAGATATGTGTGTGTGCATGCACGACACACACACACTTATACATCCTCATATATGTGTGTGTGTGCATCTATAGCTATGTACACATATATATATGAGGGCTTAAAAATACACACACAAATCTAAGGATAGACAGCACTGTGTGTGTGCGTGTAGGTGTGTGTGTGCGCGCGAGTGCGCGCGTGTTTAAATCCATCAAGTGACCTGGCCTGCAGTGAGCTTCACGGATGGGCTTAGACGGAATCCCTCTCCAATCCACCTGCATTCCAGTGCCTGCTTCTTGGGGTACCTCCTGTCTGACAGCCTGGGGTGGGCAGAATGGCGGCCTCCCCGGAGATGTCCCCAGCCTCTTTCCTGGCACCCCTGAATACTTTACCCAACATGACACAGGGAGTATGCAGTTGTGATGAGGGTTATCCACCATGAGATGAGCTGGGAGATTAGCCTCAAATATGATTGAGGGCCAATATCTGGAAGCAGAGAGGTTTCTGGGCTGAGGTGGAGAAGTGGGATGAAGGAGCAGCAGGAGGGGCGCAGGGCATATGAAGGGCTCCACCCAGCGTCTGGTTTTGAGGACGGAGGGGCCTGGGGCAGGGACGGTGGAGGCCTCTAGACTGACAACAGCCTGCCTATAACCTGCAAGGAAGCGAGGCCCTCAGCCCCCCACTTCATGAACCTAGTCAACAACCTGAGCCCGCCTGAAGAGGACTCCCCAGAGCCTCTGGGTACAACTCTGGGGGGCGACACCGCAACCGCAGCCTCATGGGACCCGGAGCAGAGAAAGCCAAGCCCACTGGACTGGAACCCACGGGGTGTGCAACGAGGGATGTGTGCTGCCTTCAGGGATACGACCTGGCTGCTCGGGGCAGCAGCACCAGGAGCGGACACTCTGGAAGGCCTTGACTGGTGGTGCGGCCGGCGTCTGGGTGCTTAGGGATCTGCAAGCAGTCGGCAGGCTGCGGCTGCCCAGCCCCGAGCATGGCAGAGGTGCCAGGAACTCCAGCTGGGGGAGGGCGGGGGGGGAGCAGAGAGCTGTGGGCGGACAGTCAGCACCCAGATGCGGAAACACTACTTGGAAAGGCAGCAGCTGAGACTTCTACACATTTTCAAAAACTGAGCCAATAGGGAACACTATTTACCTCCATTTGAGAATGATTTTTAGGGGAAAATGAAGTTTGCTCTGGCCTGAGTAAGAGCATCTTTCTTCTTCCCTTCCCTCCCCACACCCCTTCCTGCCGCTGGCTCCTGGCATGGCCAGCATGGTACTGCCAGGCTTCCTTCCTAACAGCAGCCCTGGTCTGTGCCCTTCGGGGGATACCGTGTTCCTGGTTCTGCAGACTGTCAGCCCAGCCGCAGCACGCACCGCGCAGACGTGTGCTCTCAAAGAAGGTCTGGCAGAGTCTCTTTGAAATCCTTCTGGCTATGCATGGAAGCCGTGCTTTGGAGCTGTCTCTCCTGTATTTTTTGAATAACTGACTTTGTCAGCATATCATTGTCAAGTACACAGTGGTTGACTATTGCGGGTCAAAAAACTGAGACACAAAAGGGTTAAGAAATGACTCCAGACCTCATAATTAATTGCGAGCATTAAAAGATTTGACCCCAGTTCACGACTGCCTCCTTGGTCTCTAATGAGAGTCCTTCTGGGATCTGGATAGGATAAGATGCAGGACTTGGGAGGTGTGTCGGGAGCTCTGCTACAGACCAGGCAGCAACAACAAGGCCACTCCACACACAGCCCCTCCGTGCTCCACCTGAAGTGGACACACACGGAGCAGCAGGTCGCCAGCAGGCCGGACACAAAGCATCTGGAATGGCCAGGCTCCAAGGTCAGCCTTTCTCAGCAGCGACGAAGCGCTTCCCCCTCCCAGCTGAGAGGCACTCCTGTCATGGATATTTGTCTGAAATGTGCACCAGGCCTCCTGCACATGCACAGGAGCTCAGGGAGGCACAGGTGCTAGAGCAGAATTGAGGGGAGGTGGCTGAAGCTGCCACAAATGTGAGGCTCCAGAAAACCTTCCAGGTGGCAGTCTGGACCCCAATGCCAGTTCTGGGACAGATTTATAAAACAATGTGACCAGCATGCTTTCACGACACAACTGGTTCCTTATGAGACATAGGCAAGCCTTTTCTTTAGGAAGGAAGAGGCGGTGTGGCTATGAGCTTTGTGGAAACAATGTTCCCTGAAAATAGAAGGGCACAGAGAGGTGACAGTGGGGGAATGTCGTCCCTGGTGGAGTTGGGAGAGGAACGGAGGACATTTCTCACTGGACCTGTTCTTAATAGCACGAGTATTGATGGTCTCATTCATTCCCTGGGCCACTTTTCCTCCCAGTCAACTTCTTCCCACATCATTAATAGAAGACAGGACCTATCTGTTGAATTCATTCTCCAAGTCCCCTTTGTACATCTTCCACATGTCCCAGTCCTATTCCACAGTACAAATCTGAGTTTAAAAAGTATTAGTTGACTACAGAATCTGGATCTGTAGCCAACATCCTATGCTGCCCACAAACACAGAGGTACCGGAAAAAGAGATATCATCTATTACGGAGACATATAATGTTTATAGGAACACATTTGTTTTTAGAACTATCTAAATACCTCCCCCCTCTCAAACACACAGGACATGGCAGGCTGACTTTAAGAACATGATACATATATCATATTAAATTTCTTCATTTTTTAAGAATTCCCTACCTCGCTGGGCATGGGCTCATGCCTGTAATCCCAGCACTTTGGGAGGCCGAGGCAGGCAGATCACTTGAGGTCAGGAGTTTGAGACCAGCCTGGCCAACATGGTGAAACTCCATCTCTACTAAAAATACAAAAATTAGCCAGGCATGGTGGCACACACTTGTAACCCCAGCTACTTGGGAGGCTGAGGCTGTAGTGAGCCGAGATGGCGCCACTGTACTCCAGTCTGGGTGGGTGATGGAGTGAGACTTGGTCTCAAACAAAACAAAACAAAACAAAACGAAGGATTTCCTACCTCAAGATAAAAATTACTCTAGAGAGTAATGAGGAGTTCAAGTCTAGTCTACCTGATTATATGAGGAAGAAAAAGAACTGGGTCCCTGACAAGCTAGGTCAGGGGGTCCCATGGGCTGATGCCACACCACTCTGTATAAAGCCTGTGACCCCCGGGAAGGATGAGATCTCATTCAAGCACTTCATGGGTGCATGTTTTTCTTTCAAGATTCAAAATACTATGCTTGGGAGGTTGGGAAACCATCCTCATTCATCCAAATGACTTGAGATTGACCATCTTTAATCTATCCAGGGTTATAAAAGGGTGTTCTGTTCCTGGAAATAATATAGTGATCTAAATGGCAAACTGTAACCCCAACAGAATGGATACACAGGGGTCTGGGGATTTGCACCTGGAGACTGCATATCAGGACGCGACCCCCACGTGGGCGTACCTAAATGTTCTGTGTGGACAACCTGGCGATCAAAATGAGATCAGTTGCAGCCCACAGCCCTACTTCTCCCCAAACTGACCTGACAGAACACAAATCCATGCTGATTTCTGGAGGTGGGTAAGAATTCATACTTGGCTTCCTAGCTAAATAAAGAGCACTTGGATTTCAACAGGCTGAGTCACTCAGGGATGGAAGTATTCCGAAGCTGCTACTCCTGCCAGTGCATAAGAGGGAGTTCTCTGGAATAAGATATATGAGAAGCAAGGCCAGAAGATGAGGGGGTGAGCACGTAGAAGGTCAGCCAGATACTCAACACGTTAGCATTGTGTAAACAGAACCACCACAAAGGATATCTTGCAGGACTGTCCTTAAGGGCATTTAGGAATCCTGTCTGCTGGGAACCTGTGGGAATGAAACCAAAATTTAGTATGCAGACATAAACAGCCTTCATGCTGAACGCTCTCTCATCTACATAAAAGTAATAGGTGGCTAAAGATCAATTAAATCATTATATTTTGCAAGTGCTACGACACCCAGTTTACTGATCAGAGACTGAGGCTCCACTAAAGTTTTTCACCAAGAAAATGGAGGATTCATAATTGGGCCCAACATCTGCAGGGTATTTTTCAATAAAAGCAGATGGATGTCTGCGCACTTTCCCATAAATTATAGTTCTGATTACTCCTTTGTTTTTCTCACTTTAATAGGAAAACAGAATACTGTATGCTATCTTTTCTCTTCTGTTTTCCCAAATTTGTTAACTTTTGACCCTGGAAGTTCTATAAACTAGGCTACAGCATATGAAAGACTTCTTTTTCTGCATCCAGAGTAAACAGTCATAAAGCTGAAATTTACTAGACTTCTTTTGGGTTTTAGACATTTTAATATGAGCTGTCTTATGCAAGAAGACATTTCTTTAGGGGCTTGAATAAAGAAGCATCTGACAGAAAGCAGTTTTTATTTTATGCATTGACATCATACTTTTAAAAATAAAAATACAGAGGAAGTCTTAACAATCCCATCTTGGGGTAGCAGTGCCAGGTCCCTCTGTGCTGTGGGAAGCCACTGAGCCTCAGGGGACATAATCCAGCCCTCAGGCAGCAAGGAAATGACACAATAGATGGGTGCTATGGTGTCCCTGTGGCATCTGACCGCAGGCATGGGTGCACTGTGGGACTTGGTGGCAGGGGGTGAGTGGTCACTGTGTCCCCATGTGTCCCACTATGGGAGACCACCTGGGAGGGTGAAGAGTGTCTTGGCTCCCTATTCTTCCCAAAGTCCCTTTACCTCTGTGCCCATGGCCCATGTGTCTAAGCTGTGGGACACAGTGGGTGGGAAAGGCTGTGGGGAGGAGCTGATGGTACTTAAGCCTTCCTCCTCCATCTCTGCCAGCCCCAAAGGGCACAGTGGCAAGCACCTGTGCAGCCGCACGGAGCAAACGCAGCCTTGAGGCAGATGAGGAACCAAAAGAAATGATTTCTCTTTCTCTACTGCACCCAAATTGTGCGGCTTGCCTAAACTCTCCTTCCTCTCCAAGGAAATCCATACTTTGCCTTCCCAGGAATCTTGGAGGCCACAGAAGGAAGTCCAGTCCTTCCCCTAAGAGCCCAGGACCCAGGAGTGAGACCCAGATGACAGCTCTCCCCTCTGCCTGTGCCAATGTCTTCTGAGGCTTAGTGGGTAACAGGAGCCATGTAAACCCTGTGCCCTTCCTGAAGCATCACATAGGGTGGATAGATAGGGTGGTGGGGTCGTGTCATGAGGGTCATTAAGGAGGGGGTGTCGAACAAGAGAAAAGGAAAAGCTTTATTTGCTTTTGCATTCCAATAACTTACAGGCAGGTAAATTCTTAATACTTTTGTGTAGAAGAAGAGATTAACAATACTTAAACATAGACTAAGTAAAATCCAGTTTGGTGGAGCCAGGGTGAGTGAAACCTTAGAGAAGCTGAAAGTGAAATGCACATTACAACCTGAGTGTGGTGGCAGGTGCAGATGTCACCGTGTGTATGTGTGAGAGCATATGAGTGTGCAATGGTGTGTGACTGTGCATGACAGCATGTGTGTTTGTGTGTGTAACGGTGTGTCAGCAAGTGCAACTGTGATTGTGAGAGCGAGTGCACAACAGTGTGAGTGAGCACGACAGCATGTGTGTATGTGAGTGTGCAATGGCGTGTCACCAAGTGCCACTGTGTGAGCATGTAAGTGTGCAACAGTGTGAGCGTGAGTGACCATGACAGTGAGTGTGCAATGTTAGTGCAAGTGAGCATGACAGCATGTGTGTGAGCCTGTGTGCAACAGTGCGAGTGACCATGACAGCATGTGAATTTGTGAGAGCATGAGTATGTGAGTGTGCAATGGTGTGAGTGCAAGTGAGCATGACAGCGTGTGTGAGCATGTGAGTGTGCAACAGTGTGAGTGACCACGACAGCACGTGAATTTGTGAGAGCATGAGTATGTGAGTGTGCAATGGTGTGAGTGCAAGTGAGCATGACAGTGTGTGTGAGCATGTGAGTGTGCAACAGTGTGAGTGACCACATCAGCACGTGAATTTATGAGAGCATGAGTATGTGAGTGTGCAATGGTGAGTGCAAGTGAGCATGACAGTGTGTGTGAGCATGTGAGTGTGCAACAGTGTGAGTGGCCATGACAGCATGTGAATTTCTGAGAGCATGAGTATGTGAGTGTGCAATGGTGTGAGTGCAAGTGAGCATGGCAGTGTGTGTGTCAGCAAGTGCAACGGTGAGTGTGTGAGAGCATGAGTGTGCAACAGTGAGTATGACAGCATGTGAGTGTGCAACTGAGTATAGGTGAGCACAACAGCATGTGTATGAGTGTGCAACAGTGCGTACGAGTGAGCATGACAGCATGTGTGTGGGAGTGAATGTGCAACAGTGTATGACTGAGCATGACGGCGTGTATGTGTGTGCAACAGTGAGTATTAGTGAGCATTACAGCGTGTGTATGTGAATGTGCACCAGTGTGAGTGCGAGTGAGCATGTGTGAGCATGTGTGTGTCAGCGAGTGTATGTGTGTGAGAGCATGTGAGTGTGCAGCAGTGGGAGTGAACATGACAGCATGTGTGAGCATCTGAGTGTGCAATGGTGTGAGAGTGAGCGAGCATGACAGCGTGTGAGTGTATGTGAGTATTGGTATGTATGAGTATGATTAGCATGTGTGAGTGTGGGTATGTAGGGTATGTGTGAGTGTGAGAGTGTCTGTGAGTCCATGAGCATGTGTGTGTGTGTTCCTTGAGTTTATGTATACGACTAAGCATGTGACAACTGGCCCTTGATATCCACAACGCAGGGGCAAGGCCATAAATACCATCCCATAATATACACAAAAGCATCTAGAAGTCGTTAAAGGTGATATAAAAATCTACGTCTAGGCCAGGCAAGATGGCTCATGCCTATAATCCCAGCACTTTGGGAGGCTGAGGCAGGAGGATCACCCAAGGTCAGGAGTTCAAGACCAGCCTGGCCAAGATGGTGGACCCCATCTCTATTAAAAATACAAAAATTAGCCAGGTGTGGTGGCCCACGCCTATAATCCCAGCTACTCAAGGGAGGAGAATCGCTTGAACCCAGGAGGCGGAGGCTGCGGTGAGCCGAGATCCTGCCATTGCACTCCAGCCTGGGCAACAGAGTGGCACTCCATCTCAAAATAATGCTGATAATACTAATAATAATGCTGAAACACTGCTTTTCAGTGCCACGTGTGTGCTGGAGAATCGGCCTGTATTTCTTCCCTAGCTGTGTAACAATTACTTCTTTGAAAATAACATATGATCCCCTACTCGTTCTCTCTGCTTCTTTTGTCTATTAATGCACAAATGGGACCCTAGCCACATTTTTGCCATTCGGAGGACTCTGAAAATAGAGAGGGTGCCCCGTCTGCATCCTGCCCAGCTGGTGTGGCAAAGGCGGGTGCCCACTGTCCTCTTGCAAGCACACCAAGTTATGGCTCTCAGGCACATATTACACATTTGTGTCACATTTGGATGAAAGATTATAGTCAGAAAGAACGGGAAGTAGGGTTGAAAGTACCTATGAAAATTTGGGATGGTCCATGTAACAGCCCAATTTGACTAATATTCAAAAAGGATGAATGCAAAACATTCCCTACCCCCCACTTCCCCCACCCTCAATATAAACTCCACCAGAAGAGAAGGGGAGGAAGATGTGCCCTTAATATGAGCTTGAGCTCACACCATTTGTGGTTTGAGCACTGCGGCCTGGGAAGAAAGTGGAACCTCCATTCAGATACTTACGGAACATTCCAGAAAGAAGCTATGGACTTGCTAATGAGGTGTTATACTTCAGGAATGCGGAGAAGAGGCAAGGCTAGTGCTTAATGCACTATTGGTACTGTGATGGAGGTTTAAGGGCCTCGGTTTATAGCTCAATGCAAATTAACTTCCTTCTCATCACTTTCTATTGTAGGAAAGTGACCAAGAGACAAAAGAAATTCAAACTTACAACCCTCAGAATGGGGAATGAAAAGATGCCATTTGCTTAGGCAAATATGTACTAAAATCATTTATTTCCAAATCTAATTTTTAATAAAAGTTGCTTCCTTTATATGACAGGGGAAGTTAGTCCATGTTCTAGCAGATACTTCAACATCTTACCCAATGTATGTTTTTAACATATATAGATTTGTGTGCAAGAAAACCTCGTCTTTCTCCCCAGACATCTTTTCTAGAGAGGGTGGCTGGTGACTGTTCTTGGATAAGGAGATAGCACAGTAAGGAAGGAAACTCTACTGTTCAATGTCATCTCTGCCGCTCATGGTCCTTTATGCCAATGTGGGGATGAGTCTTCCAGGGGACCCCTTAGCAGGAGAAAAAGTGAGGTCATTGACGTTGGAATAGGGACGTGCATATCAAGGAGAAGGTACTGTTGGTGAGAGCGCAGCCTGGCCCAGGTGTGACCCCTGGAAGATGCTGTGAAAGATGGGGTGGGGAGTGGGGGATGATGGGGACGGAGGAGGGTTGGAGGAAGGTGAGAAATGAAAGTGAGGCAGGCCAGAGTGAGGAGGGGAAAGGGAGAAAGAAAGGCAAAGAGAGAGCCCGAAGTGATCAAAATATTAAACCAAAATAAACCAGAAAACCAAAGTCAGGCAAATGGTTACATACGTAATCTGATTTCGCCAGCATACTTACGAAGAATGACGTGGGTGAGAACGAATGCAAATATAAAGACTGTCAGAAAAGACAGAGATAAAATAAACATATAAAAAAATCTGTAGTTTCTTTTCCCCACACAGTTGCCTACCCAGGGACAGTGGTGATCAAACCGTTCTGAAATGAGAGGCAGAAAAAAAAAAAGTGGAAATCAATTAATAAAATGTCTTCTTACTTGCAGGAGCCCCACCCCTCCCACCCAGTACTCTGATGATATAACACAATGACATTATTCTGCATATTTCCAAATTAACCACTCAGAGAAATGCTTCACTTCAAGACAGTTCAAGGACATCATCATTCTTTCAACAGAATGTAACTCTTTTGAAAAAACAAAGCGTATGCATTCTTCTCAAATGGCAAGTTAAAGAAATAGGAGGGAAAATTCCCATTTCTTTTGGAAAGTAAAGATTTCCCTCTTTGGTAAAAGAAACCGCTTTGCATTCACTGAACAACCTTCCCTTAAGAGGGAACCATCATCACTTGATGGTCAGTGCTGGGCTGGGGCTGGATGTCAGTCAAGTGACCTGCTTTGCATAGTAAATGTCCATAGAGGGGGGCCACAAGGGGCCTGGGACAGGACAGAGGGACAATCCTTTGTTCTCAGTTACAACTGTTCAGCAGATATCAATCATATTTATTAAAACGTTTAGCCTCAAAACATTCCTATGAAGAAAATGATGGCCATTGCCCTATTTTACAGATGGACAAACTGAGGCTTAGAGAGATGGGAGGCTGCCTGCACAGGGCCATTCAGCTCAGAAGCAGTGGAACTAGAACTTGAGGTCAGGTCTTTCACAGCTGCTCTGTCTTCCCACTGTATATGCTGCCTCTGGCACTTTGTAAATGACAGAGTCTGATTCGGGCATCAGTACACGTTTACCCATGGTACCCTAAGTGCAGACCCACAGCCTCTCACCTGGACATCTGCACACAAAGTCTGCAATGCATTGGAGATTTGTTCTTTCCCTTGCAAGTAATGGCAAAGGGCTTCTCTTTACTGATCAGCTGATCTTCTATTGAGAGCACCATTCTAACACACCCGCTCATACAAGACAGCCTGTGGCCGCCGGGGAGGACAGCGCTGGGCATAGGACTTAGCTTTCTCCTTGGGCTGTTTTCTGAGCTGAACTTGCATCCAGCTTTCATATTTTATCTACCTCTGTGTGCCTGAAAACATACCGGGAGTGCTATAGGAGGTGTGGCCATATAAACAAAACATAAAGTTAGGCAAGGTAGTCAGTTTCACGACTTTCTGGTCATGTATCATAAATCAGTCATCTTGTGTTTTTGGTCAAATGCAAGCTTGTTTTCTTGAAAAGGGCATGAGGACACCTGAATGATAGCGGTGGCGCAGGAACTGCAAGAGAATCATTGCTGTCTGCCAGTGGCAGTGACAAGAAACAGCCGATCTGAGCAGAGGACTTGAGGAGAGATTTCAGAGCTCCCTGGCGTGGTGATAAGCTGATGGCCTGTAAGATGCTGACACTCAGTGAGAATAACTTGTATGAGCATACCTATGTGAGTTACATGATAACATGTGTTGCGGCCCCTCATGGCTGGAGAAGCTAACCCTGCAGAAAAACAACCTCCCTGGGGCTGGGGAGGGCTGCACAGGTGTATCACCGAGAATACCCGGGGCCACGGAAATTGTGTGATACTAGAATGACAGAAACATGCAATCATATGTTTGATCATATGTTTGCCCAAAGCCACAGATGTACCACACCTGGAGCGAACCCTAATAAACCGTGGAAGTTGGATGATAATGAAGTACGAATGCACGTTCATCAATCCTAACAAATGTATCCACTCTGATGGGAGATGCTGCTCATGGGGGAGGCTGTGCCTGTGGAGGGCAGGAGTGGATGAAAACTCTGTGGACCTGCCTCTCAGTTTTGCTGTGAACCTAAAACAGCTTTGAAAAAAATTCAGTGTTTAAATATTAACAACAAACACACCTCATTTCCCCAAGTTACTGATCTACACAGTCTGTCCACTGAGAGGTCTATCTATCAGACGAAGTGCACACAAAGAAAAAATCTGGGCCAGCCAGAATTCCCTAAGACTTTGAGGCTGTCATTTTGAGAAATCACTTTTCTTCTCAATGTATGACTACAGAAAATGGGCATGACAGTGAAAGCCAGGGGCATAAAAGCACATTCTGGGTTGTAACCTCCAGTTCACTCTGGGAAAGTTGATCTCTAAATCCTATGTGTGGTGGGCTTGAGCTTCTTGACTGAAGTGAAAATTGCCTATCAGCAAAGACGGACACAGGGCCCGGGAGGCATCGTTAACACCAGGGACACCCCACCCGATGCACAAAGGTCTTGTGGCACACAAGACTCTACAGGCCATTTCGACCATAGCAGCCAGTCACATTTTTAGCTTAGAAAGTTTAATAACAGCTAAGTGGTGACGCTGTGCTTTCCCGACCGAGGCAGCGTAACTACCGAAGTGAAAGCCACAGATGATGTGGATGGGACAGTTGCTCCTGGAGCCTGGGGGCTTCTGGGGAAGCCAATGCCTTCTTAGAGATGGGTATGCACTCCTGGCTCTCCAGTACCCTGAGCCAAATGGCAGTTTCTTTCTAGAAACTTGTGTTGAATACTTTTTCTGGCAAACTTTTTCTGGAATTTTAGTGGCAAGAATCCCACTAAAAATCTAGGCTTACTGAGAAGTGATCGTAGTGAATGTTTTTTATGCCCTCTGTTGTGTTTGTTGAGTTTATGGTGGTAATGAGTCTGAGAGGCTCGGCGGGTGCCTCTGGGGAGTCAGGAGGCATCAGAGTCCTCGGGCCAGTGGTCTCACCAGCCTAATGCCCACCAAACACTCTTGCACCCCAAGCCTGCATGCTTTCCCCACTCCCTTTCTGTGTGCTCCTCTCTGCCCGACACCCAGTAATCAGTAGTTCCCAGGGTCTTTTTCCATGGACTCTCTTCCTCTCTCGCTGGTAATCCTTTTCATCTCAAGGTCCAAATGCCAACTCTACACTGATGCCTCCAGAATGGCCGCCTCTCGCCTTCAGCAACAGACTCCTGCTCAATGGCCTGACTGGCCCTTAAACTCCGCTTGTCCCGGAGAGGACATCCTGTCCTCCCGCCCCAAACACGTGCCCCTTCAGACTGACCAGTTGCTCGACTCAGAACCCCAGGCATCATTCCTGACCCTGCCCTTTCTCTCACCCCCACATCCAACCCACGAATGAGTCCTATCAGCTCCGCTCCGGCTTTATCTGAAATCAGATGCTACGGTCTGACTGTGTGCCCCGAAGTTCATGTGCTGGAAACTTAGTCCCCAGTGCAACGGTGTTGAGAGGTGGGGCCTTGAAGAGGGGATTAGGACAGGAGGGCTCTGCTCTCATGAGTGGTTTAGGATTAACGTTGCTTTTGCGGGAGTGGGTTCCTCCTAAAGGAACGATCCTCTCCGCCTCCCACACTCTCCTGCCCTCCCGCCTTCTGCCACGGGAGGACACAGCAAGAACACCCTCGCCAGACACAGGCCCCTGGGCTGTGGACTTCCCAGCTTCCAGAATTGTAAGGAACAAATCTCTGCTCTTTCGAAATTACTCAGTCCGTAGTAATCTGCTGTAGCAGCACAAAATGGACAAGACAGCCTCACATTTGTTTTTCACTTACTTTTGTCTGCCAACCCTACTCTGAGCCTAGCACATATTTGTCAAGTAGCTGAACACAGTCTCATCCTATTAAAGGGACATCTGCAGGAGTAAGTGCATTGCCCAAGGTCACGCCGTTAACGTATTGCAAAGCTGGGATGGGGGCCCAGCTCTATCTGTCTCCAGACCTGAGCTCCTGTCTATTAAATGCTACACCGCCTTTACTGAGGATTTTCCATGTCCCGAGCACTGTATCAGGTGCTAGGAATACTAAAAAGAAACAGCAACAACATACGACACCATGGCTACAAACAGAGTTCCTTGTCTTATTTGGTGAGGACACAGTTTTCAGACACTAAAATATTACTTAGATCCAAGGAACCTACTCCTAATTTAGCTTTCATGTCAGTCAGGAATTGATTGCCATTGTTGGGAGCATACAGCGTGCTTTCTTTTTGGGTCGAGGATGAGAATGGGCCATGGAAAAGCAGTGAGACTTCACAGGGTGGCCCATCCCATCCTGGTGGGAGAGCCACCCTCTTGCCTCCAGCTCTGAAAGCGTTCAGAGAAGTGGAAGCTAAAGTGCTGTCAGAGTTACCTTCCAATGGGGTGGCCAGTGTCATTCAGTCCAGCGCAGAAAGTTGGCAAGAATTAGGCACAAGCTGAGCTGGGGAGACAGCAGGTGACTGCAACCAGCACATGCCATAGCTCTTAGGGGCCCAAGGGAACACGTCTGAGAAGCCCCACACAGCCATTATTAGACTATTATTTCTATACTTTCTGTGTGCAAAAATTGAATGGGTGTCCTGTGAGCCAGGGATGGCAGGGTTAGGGGTGCGTGTGATGGGAAGTTCTTTAAACAAGCACTTTCAAGTTCTTGCCATATTCCTTGATTCTAAAGTTTGGGTCCTGCCAGAGGGGAGTGGTCTCTATACCACAGCATCTCTGGAGGATTCCTTTTAAAAGATGTATTAGGACCAGGCGCAGTGGCTCACGCCTGTAATTCCAGCACTTTGGGAGGCCGAGGTGGCGGATCACAAGGTCAGATGGAGACCATCCCGGCCAACATGGTGAAACGCTGTTTCTACTAAAAATACAAAAATTAGCTGGGCATGATGGTGTATGCCTGTAGTTCCAGCTACTCAGGAGGCTGAGGCAGGAGAATCGCTTGAACCTGGGAGGCAGAGTGAGCCGAGATCATGCCACTGCACTCCAGCCTGGGTGACAAAGCAAGACTCCGTCTCAAAAAAAAAAAAAAAAGTATTAGTCTGTTCTCATGCTGCTATAAGGACATACTCGAGACTGGGTAATCTATAAAGGAAAGAGGTTTAATGGATTCATAATTCTGCAGGGCTGGAGAGACCTCAGGAAACCTATAATCGTGGTGGAAGGGGAAGCAAACATGTCCTTCTTCACAAGGCAGCAGGAGAGAGAAAAATGGGAGCCAAGTGAAGGGGGAAGTCCCTTATAAACCATCGGGTCTCATGAGAACTCACTCACT